CTGTCTCAAAAAAAAAAAAAAAAAAAAAAAAGATTACAAAGAGGATTTGGAACCAAAACATTTGGGAACTACTGAATTAGAGGTATAATTGTCTCAGCAAATGTGTTGAATGAATGAATGAACAAACCAGTACGTTCAGGGACTGTTTCCCACTCACCTAACTCAAGTTTACAGCTGCCGGTGAGCAGGGGTTGTGTTCCATTCTTCTGTGTAAGTACCTCTTCTGTCCAGGGTAGCACAATTAGGCCACATTTGTTCATTCAACAGACGTTTCCTGAGCATCTGAGCAGGAGCCGTGCTCGCAATAAAACCTGGTCCTGCCCACAGAAACCTCTTAATCTAGTGAACAAAATAAACGAGTTTTCAGATAATTCCAGAAACCTGAGTACAATGCAGTGCGAGGTCTTCACAAGAAGGAATACGGTAGAAGAGAAGACAGCACGAGGATGGGGCTGGGAGACATCACTGAGCAGGGAGGGCTGGCTGCCTGGGTAGGTCTTCTAGGAATCAGCTTCCACCCAGCTGGCAAGTGAGGACAGAGAAAGGGCATCCCAGGCAGGTAGGAACACCCGTGCAAAGCCTGTGACGAAGCCTTGGTTGAAGGTCACGGGCATGTCAGTGACACCAGGTACCCCGCATGATGAGGCCAAAGTGGGAGAAGGGCCATCATAGAAGGCTTTGGATGCTGTGGTAGGAATTTCTAGAAGCTGCTGGACCTGCCGATGGCTGGGTGAGAATCTGGTATGCTCTTCAAAGCTCTGTGTGGATGAATCTCCTCTCCCCATTCCTCTACATCCAACTCACTAAAGCCTGGAATGTTCGATCTCCATCCCCCTTTTTTCACCCAGCTAAATACTAAATGTCCTTCAGGCCTCGTTTCATATGTCCCTTCCTCCAGGAAGTCTTCCTTGACTACCCCTCTCCCTGGATCAGACTGGTCTCTCTGTCACACTCCACCATAGCACTGTGGAACTCTCCTTCAGAGCACTGTCTACAATGAGGCCCCTACTGTACACGGTGCTAGGAATGAATGGGTTTATAAGGAGCTTATAACCTGTGAGAGAGAGACAGATAATAAACGATAAACAGGAAAAAGATAATACATATTACTATGATAACAGCTAACACCTATATAGCGCTTACTATTTGCCAGGCATTGTTCCAAGGGCCTTCTTTCTTATTTATTTTTTTTACTTTTCAAAAAATATATTGCTTAGATTTTTATATGATCATTTTCCTCAAACTTTTTATTTTGAAAAATTTCAAGCCTAGAGAAAAGTTAAAGGGTAGTAAGATAAACGTCCTTCTGTTCTTCAGCTAGGTTTACTAATCATTAACGTTTTACCACTTTTGCCTTTTCTTGACAGGAATGTTTTCCCCTCAACTAGTTGAAAGTAGGTTGCAGACATTTTTGATTTGTCATCTGTCAATTCTTGAACGTGCATGTCCCAGGAACAAGATCATACTCTACCATAACCACAGTTCTGCTACACTCCAAGGAAATTTAAAATTGATTTAAAATATCATCAAATATGTGATACATGTTCAGATTACTCCAGGGGCCTCCAAAATGTCTTGATAACTAAGGTCTTTTCCCCTGTCCAGGACACAGTCAAGAATTGTGTGCTGTATTTTGTTGTCATGTCTAAATGCTTTTAAAATATTAGCTAACTTCCAATCCCCATTTTACAGATGAAGAAACTGAGGCACAGAGAGATTAAGTCACTTGTCCAAGTTATACAGAGAGTGGTGGGATCTGTTGGTCTTTCCAATCTCCCTGCCTTTTTCTTACCCTCCATGTCCTGTTCTTAACCCAGCAGGCAAAGGGATCATTTTAAATTGCAGATGACATTAGAGCAATCCTCTGCTCAAAGTTCTGCCATGGCTCCCTACTTCTCTCAGACTAAAAGTCAAAGTCCTCACGAGGCCTCCATCCCACATTGCTTCTCTGACCTCTTCTTCCTCTCCCCTGCCCCTGGGCCTTTGCACATGCTGTCCCACTGCCATCAGGGCTCCCGCCTCACCCTTCTGCACATTTTTCCCAGTTGTCACCATCATGTCCCTCCCAGGCACACCTCACTTCTCCTCCTCTGTTTTTTCATCTTGATGCTTAACTACTGATAGACTGGGTATCTTAGAGACTCAGGCTGCCACTTGTCCTCATGGAGCAGGGATTGTCTGCCAGGGGTTTTCTGGTTTGCTTGCTGCCGTGTCTCCAGCTCCTACGCCCGAGGCAGACACCTGGTCCCGAGTGCTGAGTCGTGCTGGTTGCTGTCCCC